CCGCCAACGGCCGCCAACGGCCGCCAACGGCCGCCAACGGCCGCCAACGGCCGCCAACGGCCGCCAACGGCCGCCAACGGCCGCCAACGGCCGCCGGCACTGCCCAGGCCCCTCTCGCCTCCGCCTCCTCCCACCTCACGGAGTTTCCGTGTCCGGCGGAGCGTCCCGGGCACCCGGATGGAGGCGGCGCCGCCGCCCGCCCCGCCTCGCGCTATATAAGCGGCGCGCGGAAGCGGCGCCTTCCCTCTGCCCGCGCCGCCGCCGCCGCCTCCTGACTCACCGCTGTTCGCTGGGCCGCCCGGGAATAAGTCGGTCAGGAAGGGCCCGCGCCCGCCATGGTGAGGGGAAGGGAAAGGGGGGACGGGAGGCCGCGGGCGGCGGCGCCTCGAGGCCCCGGCCGGGCCCGCGGGCCCCGCTGCGGGCGCCGCCGCCCGTGGCCCGTTCGCTCCCTGGGGCGGCCTCTCATACGAGGAGCTGCCGCAGCCTCCGGAGCGGCGGGGCCGCCGAAAATCCATACATTTAAATACATATAAACGTATATCAGTGCCAGCGTGTGTTAACACCCGGTTACTTGCGAGCGCTTGGAGGTTGTTGCGGCCTCCTTTTCTCCTGTTTCTCCTGCTTCCTGGGTTGTTCCATGTGCTGGAACATGGAGGGATGGATGGATGCGCTCCGAGCTGAAGGGCATTTACCTCCACAGCGTTTGTACTGGGGTAGTTAGGCTCAGGATTTTGCCTTTCCAGCCTCTTCCCACCATTTGGGCCCTCCTACCACAGCCCTCTGATATATCTAGTAAGATAAGAGTTTAGAGTGTCAGATTTCTTATTTCTACATTTATTGCCCCAGGCCTGCGTTTTAAAAGGTTGCATGTAGTGCAAGCAGTTGGCCATGGTGGTTGATATTAATAATGTCAATATGTTTTGATATTAATAACTTCAATATTTTAGGCATTTAAAGATACCGGCAAAGCACCTGTGGAACAAGAAGTCGCAATTCATCGGATTAGGATTACTTTGACAAGTCGCAATGTAAAATCCCTTGAAAAGGGTGAGTGATGCTTGTTTTGTTTTGTTGTTTTTAGAGGTTGTAGCTTTTCAAATGTCAAATGTAATGTATGAGATGAGTATTGACTGGCATTTGCCTGTTTGCATTGCAGTCAGGCAGCAAAGCCAATTTAAAGGGTGTCATATGCTGATCAGTAGGTTCTGGGTTTATTTTGAATAGAAACTGGCATTTGAGGTCTTTCATTGTGCTGGAAACTAGAATTGCTAACTGTAGATAATGCACCTTGTGCCCTTTAGTTCTTGCAGGGGGGTTAAATGTTATTGTTTTGAAGTACAAAATCAGAAAGATCTGATCTCTTAACTTCAACATGCTGGTATGAAGAGTTTAGTTTATTATTGTAGCATTCTTTAACCTCATATTTAAACTTGCTTTCGAACTAASCACGCCGGTGTTTTAAACATATATTGTGAATGTTACAGAACTACTGTTTGATGCAGGMTCTTCCATCTGATACAGTTCAGATATGACTTAACCTTGTAGTAGTGGCTTTTGCCTATTGTTGTAACATGGATTTGTAAACCATGAGGTGACACTTCCACTGATTCATAGTTGGCAATGAGGATGACATTTAAACATGAGTTACTGTGATCATTTTATACGCTATTCTGAGCCAACACCTCGTTTGAAATCTTCTTTGCTTAGAACAAAACAAAACCATGACCCTGAATCTCTTTTTTATAATTTTTAGTCTGTGCCGACTTGATCAGAGGTGCGAAGGAAAAAAACCTAAAGGTGAAAGGACCGGTTCGCATGCCCACCAAGGTACTTAGAAATGGGAAAAGCGTGTTGTTTTTCTGTATATGAACACTTGGAACATATAAAAAAAATAGTTGAGACGGAAATAAGTTTTACTAAACTAGGGAGGGTGATGTATTTTATCTGGATCATGAACTAATAAATTTCTCACTTGAGAATGAAGTGATTGCAAGAAATGTTGAAAATAGATTTTTTTTTGTCTTTAAGCTTTTAATTTTTTTAATGGGTGTAGAGAATAAGCATTAAGAATCAACACCAGTGGAATATCTCTTTAATGATTGATGTTACTGATGATTTTATACTGATGATTTTATAGATAATATGTATTACTTTTAAATGGACTTATCTAGACAGCCTTCTGTGTACATGAGCTTAATATTGCATGTTTATGGTTTTGTTTCAGACTCTGCGAATTACTACCAGGAAGACACCTTGTGGTGAGGGCTCTAAGACCTGGGATCGTTTCCAAATGCGCATCCATAAGCGACTCATTGACCTGCACAGCCCTTCCGAGATTGTCAAGCAGATCACTTCCATCAGCATTGAACCAGGTGTAGAAGTTGAAGTCACTATTGCTGATGCCTAAGTGATGGTCATCCACTTTTAATAAAGTTGATTTGCAAATTTTTTTCACTGTGTTTTTATATTTATGCTTGTGATTCCCATGAAGTACAACTGAGCTCATAATGAAAATGCATGAGAGGACTATGTCTTAAAGAAGAATACATCAATTCTGAACACGAGGAAGATGAATCCTGGGCAACATAGTTTCACTAGAGATTCATGATTGCACAGACATGGATACATAAACAAAAGCAAAACTTAAATCATTAAAAATAATGTTGCCCAATAGGATTGAACTTTGGTTGAAACTTTAGTCTATATCTAGACAAGCAATAGCATCAAAACTGATGCCTAGATATCCTACAACGTTTTAAATTCTTCAGTGTTTTTTCKCTGCTAGGCTGAACTAACATGTAGCTTCCTTTTTTTTTTTTTTTTTGTTTTTGTGCCTATTTTTTTAGTCTACCTCAGTTGGCAGATCCTCAGCATGTTAGTTAAAGAGCTACATTTGCAGTATTAGTTCCAAAACGACTTTTGCAGTGAGCATATTGAATTTGGCAAGTTACTTGGACTTGCATGCAGATCACAGTTTAAGGTGTGGAACTCTAGTTCTCTTAGTTTAGGTTTCCATAGATTGAATCATTGAAGGAATATGAAAGTGAGCTARTTTCTTGTGTTAAGTAATAAAATGACTGTTTTCTTTGCTGCTATGTAGGGCACTTAGGGGAGTGTTGTGGGTTTTAGCTGTTGTTGTTTTCCCTTGGCCTAGGGACTACAGAAACTATGATTAATACTTAAACTCTTACAAGAGGTGAAGCCCTGCAGTAAGTGGAAGATCACAGCTTCATTCACACATGAGACTGGGGTTGCCATCCTTGCTCCAAACACAGCGGAGAACTTGAATTCTAATTAAGTGAGAGAAACGAGGAAAGCTGGGTTTACGCGAAGATTGAAATTCCAACCACATTCTCCAAGACCTAAAAACGTTGCCAAAGCTTGAGCTTCCTTCCTCTTGAGAATTCAAGAATCTCATCTGCCCACTCGTCTTCCTTTTGTTTAATTTAGGTCTTGGAAGGGTTCTACACTGGCCAGCAGGTTGGGAAGCTTGGCCGGGAGGGAGGAAAGAGATGGTCTCTTTCACGCACTGAGGCCATTTCCTTGGGAAATGGCTTAAACGTTTCCAAAAACCCTAGATGTGAGTGAAGCTGTTGGCTCCCATGCTGAGGGTGTTTGGGGCTGAGCACTACGCTAGGCATGTGTGCGTTCACCCCACGTTTAGATTCCCGCTTTGCCAGATGGGCTCAGGGGCAGTTGGAGCTGCTTGGCTTGCTTGGTGGTTCCAATGGCTTGTGTGGAGTCACTTCCCTGGGGAAGACGGGTCCCCCCTTCCTGCAGRCGCAGTTCATCCCGCCGCTGGATGCACGGTTCGCTTAAACCGCCCCAATCCCACYGGCGTTGTAGCCACAACGCTATAAAAATCATTACCATATAGCAGATACAACATGAATGTTTTGTGATTTTTTTAATACAAAATAAGAATGCTGTGTGGTGTCGCAACAGCGGCAGCCGCAGTAACTTTATATGACTCGGATGTAAACACACGTATATATAATTTTTATACGTGTCTGTGTTGATGCACCGCGGCGCGGTGCGCTGTGCGGCGGCGCCCCCTGCCGGCCGCCGCGGGGCGCCTCACGGCGGCAAACRGCTCCTCTCCCTCCCCCCTCCCCCGCGCCGCCGCTGGGCCAATCAGCGCCCGGCTCGGCCCGCTCAAATCCTGCCCGCGCCGGCCCCTCCCGCCTTCCCGCGCGCGCCGAGGTAGCGGCCGTTGGCGACCGTTGGCGGCCGTTGATACCCGCCGCCATGTCCGGCCTTTGCCCCGGCTCCCTGGGGGATGGAGGGCTTGTGGCTGTAGCGGGACCAGGCGTAGCCGTGAGGGGCCGGGACTCTGGGCTGTTCGTGGAGGTGTCCGCAGCCCTTCCCGGCGCGCAGGGCGCAGCCGCAGTGCCCCGGGCTCTTAGCGTACCCCGGCAGCGGGGTCTGTACGGGCCCCTCGTGCTCCCACATCGGGACCTTATTTTCTTAAGTTTTTCCTGTTTGCAAGCAGGTTTCCATCTGTTCACCCATCCCTGTTTCCATGTGTGTGTGTGGTTTTGCATGTTTTCTGAGAAAATTGCACCTTACTCTTATTTTCCTTCAAAAAATGCTTAGCCTGGAACAATGGATGATGAAGGGAAAAATGGTGCCTATGCGGATGTGTCTGATGTGTCGGATTCCTTTCTGGACTTTGGGGGTAAACCCTCACCTATGGAGTCAACTGTGTTGCCCAGCATGGAGGAGCAGGAGGTGTGGATAATTGGAATGTCTTTGTGGATAATTGGAGTGTCTTCCAATTATAACTCTTTTTTCAAGTTTTTTTTTTTTTTTTTCTTCTTCAAGAACCACTTTCAGTAAGAGTATGTATTTTCTTCTTGTGTTGAAGATACGATTCCTCTATTTCTTGTTATTTATAAATAGGTCATGTCTAGTAGCATATTAATACTATTGGCCTTGGTTTTTGAGAAGGAAGTGAAGAATTTTTGGTACTTCAGAACTTTTCTCACTTTACCTTTTTATTATTATTTTTTCTGCTTAGCAAGCTGACAAGGTTACAGGTTCTTGGGTGGTTAGAAATAAAAATCTGTAATGCTGTATACTTGCTTCTGAAGATTTAAAAAAAATCCATTCCTATTAATTTTTTTTTTTAATAATAGGATATTCTGTGTTCTCAAGTGACTCCTTTTGTATGGTTAGTCACAAAAAGCTCTGGAAAAGTAGAGTAAATTTATCTGATACTTGAACAAGTTGCCCAAGTGGAGAGGATGGGCAGTGGGAATGGGTGTAAAAATCTCCCGCTGCTACTGCAGCCCATAGATGCGGAGGGAGACCCTTGTGCAACAGGAGCAGGGCAAGCAAAGTCTTAAGTTACTGACCAGGAGCGATTTTGTGTTTGCTCCTGTGAGGAGTATGAGGGTAATCTGACTGATTGGTAAAAAAGAAGTAACCTGAATGTAAAAAGGTGTTGATGTGTTAACTGAAAGTGCTCCTTACAAAATGGAAGTACAGAACTGTGGAGCAGCTATTAGAAAATACAGCTTGAGTTCAGTACACAGGGTGACCAGAAGGTGGAAGCAGTGCAGTATAATCCTCCAGTAAGAGGACTTTTAAAAATCGTAGTGTTGGCTGCCCATGCAGCAGAACCTTAAGGCGGGGGAGGGGGGGACGGGGAGGGGCGGGGACGGGGATGGGTCTTGAAGGAAAACCGTGTAACTTTAGGACACCAGGTGGTCAAGACACAAATGACAGCTTAGGATATGAAGCTTGTGTGCAAAGAGATCAAGGCAATAAGATGAGAAATACAGTATCACAGGAGTATGTGCCAATAAATGATCTTGAGGGTGTTCATTTAAAAAATACTTAATGCCAATAATATTTTTTTTTTTTATGAATAGGCATATCAACCTTTGAAAGTCTTCTTGAGAGTGAGGCCTTTTTCTGTAGCAGAGCTTGAAAACAACGAATCTCAGGTCAGTTGTAGCGTCAAGACCAGTTCTTCCACCCTGAAGAACTACTTGTATTGTAAGGTGGGGGTTTTCTTTTGTAAATGCTGTGTTTGCCACTTCCAAATAGAATTAGTGGCCACTTGGGTAAATGGCTTTTAAAACCAAATCTTTCAGTAATGTGTTTGATGTGTGTGTCCTTGCGCACACTCACCTTGCCATAGTTCTGCAAAACTGCACTGATACCTTCAAAAGTTGTGTGGTACCCTTGGCTCTGTGCAGTGCACAAATAGCAAAGGGACGTCGTGCAAGGGATGATGCACTTTGAGCAGTAGTTCAGGTTTTTGACCCTTGAATTCCTTGGCAATGTCTGAAGAGGTAAATTCTTTGTGCTGTCAGTTTTGAATAGATGCTTCAATGTTTTGTGCATACATGCACCCAAATTTCCCACTGTGAACACTGATGAGAATAATTTATTTGTTTTTCCTTGGAATACAAGTCTATTGCAGTGCATCTCCTGCTAGCCCTGATCTTGGTAGACCTCAAAGTCTTCCTGATAGAGTTCTTGCTGCTGACTCATTTAAAGGAGGATTTAATATTGGTCTGATTTTTAGCTGATTTACTTTTTGAGGCTTTCTTAGTGTGTAGTGGATATTCCTTTTTTTTTTTCTCCTTATATGCAGTTGTCATATTAATCTACCAAAACTGGAGCTTTTTTATTTCCTTCTCTTGCATGCCTCTTCCAGAATCTATTTACGTTTCTTCAGGCTTCTCTTGTTCAGCAGTATGGCCTGGCATGATGTTTGCAGGGTGGAGTCATTCAGCGATACAAAGTGACTGTAAGAATAAACTGATCTGCAAAATCCAAGTGTTCTATAGGCTGCCTCTTTTCATTTCCCCCTTCGAAAGGGAGACTTCCAAATACTCTGTAGTTAATGAAACTACTTGTACAGTTTTCAAATTGGGGAGTGTAAATACTGCAGTTTCTTAAAATTAACTGTAACTGATCTTCTTACTACTGTTGCTTTCATGTAGTTCTTCAAAAATAGTTGATCTTTCTACATATTAACTATCTGTCTTGAAAGCTGTATGAAGGATTTCCTTCTCAGCCTCCAAAAGTTCTGAATCAGTCTGCAAACAAATTGAGATGCTCTGAGTCAACTCACCTGTTGTTGCTTGCAGAGCAACATTGACTTAAGCAACCAAGGCCTAAGTGCCAAAGATGAATTTTTATAGGCTTTCTACAACTGTCAGCCTTATCTGGAGAGTATAAGGGACTAGAGCATGATACAGGCAGAGCAAGTGTTTGGTCTGAGTTGGTACCTGTTCTTAAAGCTTTTAAACCAGTTGATTAAGCTGCTGTCTTGGAACTGCTGGTAAAAGTGGTGTTTGATGTGTGCCTGCTGCACACAGATTATCAGTATTAACCAGCTATGACTGGCCTCTAAAACCTCAGATTTTCTAGCAGTTATTCAAGTGGAAAAGTAAGAAATTTTTATAGATCTTTCTTTAGTTATATAGAGATT